GATAGTAGAAACCTAAGAGTCTTTTATTCATGTTGAGCTGCGTTTGTCTATTAGTAAAATGGATACGCTTCCTTTCACAGAGTCGAGATATTTCTGTCTGATTTGCAACGGTCTGTTTTCTGAGTACTGTAAATATTGTTTTTGTCAGGTGAGACAGAACGACAAAATTTACTTTGTGTGTTTTGGTTTTCATGGAGAAGTGCTTCATCATTGAGCATTAGTAAGTTGATCTCGTTCGATTATTATATATATATATATATATATATTATGAAATGGACAATTATTTCAAGACATTTTTATGTTTCTACATTCTTTTTATAGATACAAATATTTAAGTAAATGCACTGTTTTATAATAAACAGTATTTATAACATTTACCGGACGTAATTTGCTGCCTTTAAACTTCAGTCTTCCATGAATCTCTGACGTACATTCATATCTGCTCAAAGCGTATCCAAATGTAAACAAATGACGTCACGCATCATGAAATGGACAAAGTCCGACAATTATTTTAAGACGGAGGACGAATATTTTCTATGAAGATTTCTCGGACATTCAGGCCGGTAAATGTTATAAATACTGTTTATTATAAAACACAGCATTTACATAAATATTTGTATCTATAAAAAGAATGTATAAACATAAAAATAACTTAAAATAATTGTCGGACTTTGTCCATTTCCATTATATATATATATATATATATATATATATATATATATATATATATATATATAGTGTGTGTGTGTGTGTGTGTAAAATAAAGATATAACTAAAAAATATATCTGTAAAATGATAGTATGAATAAAGATAAAAGAGAAATTTATCTTAGCCGACGCGATTAAAAAATATTCAACAATAACAACTCACCCTCGTTTATTAAGCATTAAATTATATCACTTAGCATCCTCCATAGATTATCTTGACTTTCACAGTTAGCCTGAAGTATATTTATTAGCGTTCTTAATTTGAAAAAGTCTGACAAACTAACAACATACTTCTGTGTATAAATACGTTTTGCAAAATAAAAATTTGCCATGATGAAGTTCATCAGAGGACGAAACGCGTCGGTTAAGTTTTCTTTACACACACACACACACACACACACACATAAACTAATGTTCACTTAGTACAATACCCGAGAGCCACCCAAAGTAGGGAATGAGGTGACTGTGATATGAACATAAGATGAGGAAGTAAACAGTGAATATTACCAGGATATGGTGGATAGATAACAAGTGACTCTGGACTTGAAGAGGTTAAGATAGTAGTGGTCAGGGAAGCATCCACGTAGGAGTCTGTTCCACAAAAGAAACGTTCTTGGGAAGAAGCTTTCAGAGAGCATGTCCTCACTAACTGCTTGAAGTTTTATACCAAAACCAAGCTAAGCTTAATTGCATTGGTGTTGAAGCCAGGATTTTTAAGTGAAGAGTTTCGGGAAGGTTGGAACAACACCAACTTCATTAACCTGTAATAATACTGGACTAAACTAAGCTTTATGGATATGTAAAACTGCTTGATTTTTTTATGCTGTTGGTTTGCCCAAAGGCCACCCACGGTAGAGAGTTACAGAGCGAGTTTGTTGTAAGAGAAGGAGGGAATATGCGCATTATCAGGACATGTAGGATAGATATCAGTTGACTCTGCTCTTGAAGAGACCAATGTTGTAGTTTTCAGGAAAGCATCCTCTCTGGAGTTTGTTTCACAAAGTAACAGTTCTGGAGAAGAAGCTGTCTTGAGTGGAACTTTCTCCTTATCAAAGGAATTTACGAAGGGAATGAGGATTATTTGCCACCGTGGGTAAGGTGGGTCCTAGTTGCAAAGGTCTGAGTTTGAGGATAAAGTTGCGAAAGGCTAGAAACATTTCTGTGGGACAAGTGTTTCAAGGTGGAGAATAATTCATCAGATACAAGACCGTGTAATCGCTTTTAAACTCTCTTGACAGCAATACTCTATTCCTGGTTTGATCTGACTCTTGTATAGACAGAGAATGGCTGTATTGCCGAGACACTGGCGCTAGTGGTCGATGTTTGATTTGAATTTTGAACACAGATACGAACTTAGAAGACTGACGTAAAACGATCTTCCGAAGTGTATTTACTCTTATAATATACTAACCTAAGCTTAGTAAATATCGTTTCAGTTTTTGTGAATTGAGGATGAATAGTATTTTTTTTTTTACTTTGATTCAATTTAAAAACTTTGGCTCTCTTTTTAGTTTAGAACGTAAAATAAGAGTGTTTGACTTAAGCATTTAATAGTCCACTGCTTGCGATGACAGTTAATAATTTCATGTGCGATGAGGATGGTTTCACACAATGAATCTGACAGTTAACGAGGCAAGGAAGGGATGTCAGAAGTAAGAGTAAGTCGGCCAATATATACTCTACAACAATACAGAAACAAATTCTACTTCGACAGTAGAAAGAGACGGCTTATAATCCACACCAGCAGAAACATAAAACACTATTTTAAACATTTTAATGACCATTGTTCCACTAGTTGAACCTATTTTACATTTTTTTAAAATACCAAGCAAGCAACATAATTTTGAGTATTTTATTTTTATTATTTACAGGCTATTGTCCTCGTGTTTACAGCCACATCATGTTGAAACACCGGTTCTCGTCAAGTTAAGCAACGTCGAGCCTGGTCAGTACCTAGATGAGGGATCTCTTGGGAATAACAGGCGGTGTAAGCTTGGATGTGCAATGTGCAGGTGGAATGGGAAATCAGAGAGCATAGTTCAAATTCAAGTCGGGTTCATTACATTCCCTAACGCGCAAATAACCCTGGGCGACCATGCATCGAAAAACATTATCGTCCAAGTGTGTCACATCCGCCTCTACTAACTTGCAATGGGTCAGCGTGGTAGGGTAATGAACCATTGCTCCCCATGATCTGGAGAAGGCCTACTCCTAACAAAGGACGATCACGGACTGAGATACAATACAAAAAAAATTGAATTTGTGCTTGATATTATTATAACAACGTTTCGGCCGTTGTGCTCCTTCATGGGTCTTCATCAGAGTAACATTCAGGGAATTTCGAACGGAACACTAAATTTAATCTACAAGGGTAGAGTGTTCTCGTTCTGCTGACCATGTCTAGGAATTTCTTGTTTTGCTACAACGAAAACGTTGTGATAACAATAAAAATGTGGACAATAGCCATGTTTGTAAATAATGTCATCCCAAAAATTCAGGTAGAAATTATATATTTTTTATCGACAATATACATATAAAAGACTAAAACACAATACCTGATTACGCATTGTGTTAAAATACCATTCATCATTTATTAATTTATATTGATCTTCGTCGAAATATATACTGGGAAGAAACCGCTTGTACAGAAAATGAATTGAACAACTACGCAATAAAAAAAGTGATATCACCGAAACCGTGATATCACCCCTGGTCGGCGACTGATGAAGACAGGGTATCGCACGTGCGAACACACGTTGTATGGTAAAAAAAAAAAAAAAATAGACTATTTAGGAAGAATTTCGAAGTGGACTTTCTTTATTAGTACTAATAATGAAATTTGTTTTTGACAAATATCAGCTTTGCTGCATTCAAATCTGATTTTTTTCCAAAATTACTACATTATATACTCCCTTGTCAGAAAGATAATGTTTTTAATATTAATTTTAAAGCTTTTTTTCTTGATTAAACTTTCTATCTCCTTATATACATCTGCAATAAAACGTTAATGAGCTTGTATTGCAGATGAATTCGCTAGTGAGTTAAATCCTTACTAAGTACGCTCTATACTGGCTTTGTGTCAGTCTAATTTTAAGCGCCAATGTTGGCTAAGTCACACTGCAAGAAGATTAGCTAGTATAATGAGTTCCATTATTGTTGAATACTCAATTACATTGACCGTATACTAGATATAAACAGTAAAATAACTATTATAGCGCCTATTGTAGATAGAAGATTCGTTTTACAGACCATTTTGCTAGTACTGTGTGTTTAATCATTATGAACGGCCCATTATTGAGCCTTGTGCCAGACTAAATTAGATTTACTGACCTATTCTAGTGGCAAATTTATGGCTTTGTACCAGTCTAAGATAAATTTTGTATAGAAGTATCAGGATAAAATTTTGGAAGACAAGATTTAAAAAAAAAAAAAAAAGAAAAAAAAAGAATGCCCATAATTTTTTGGTCTTCGACAGCAGGGCGTTTATTTTCTGATGAACACTTAAAAAAACATTTTCGTGACCTTCGATCGAATGGAAAACCGGGTGGGAAAATAAGTCTGGCATTAACTTTGTTCCATTTTCATTGGACGAATTTCCTGTGGACATTTTTATAAAACGGATTATGAGGAGTTAATGTGGTCGATTAGAGCAAGCAGCAATTATCAAGAAGTCAGACAAGTATTTCATTTCGTCACCACAAGATCAGATTATACTATAAGCGTGCAGTTTGTATAGGAAAATGATAGTGACACACAAACGCACACATAAAAATACAATTGAAAGGTTTTATTTGAGTTGCCAAATGTGTAGACAAAACTCATATGCTTACGTTTGCAGGCTCAAGTGACCAAACGTAGAAGAAATTTGGCGAATCACATATTCTGATCCTTTAAATGAAGATCGCGTGCTTTTGATTTCCAAGAGTTGGTCGAACAAGAAAACTCATAATTTCTATGCTAGTTTTGTCTTGTAAACTAAAATGGCGGCAGATTCTTTCTATTGACATTAGTTGTGTGTTGACAGAATGATTTTATTGATTGCTTTTTACGGCTTATCAACCTTTTGCAGGCTATTTACAGTCAGAAACTATTTTAGATTGTAAGAATTTTTTGAACTCTACTAATACACATCGTACTAATTAACCCATAGCTGGAGCAAAAGAGGTGAATTCATACCATCCCCAATGACATTTGCGCGTAAGTGAATATAACGTACCCGGTTGGAATTGGAAATCAGAGAGCCGAGTTCCAATTCAGAGCCGTTATCTATTAAACCACCCACACATTCACATGCTTACAGCATCTGGCATTTCCAAGTGGCCACCCATCAAGTACTGACCAGGCTCGACGTGGCTTAACTTCGGTGATCGTATGAGAGAGCCAGTGATTCAACGTGATGTGGTCGTACTCCAGTTGTGGCAGAAAGCACAAGCAATAAAATATTATGTTGTCTGAACGGTTCTTGGATTGATAATGAATCTCCAGGACGGTTCTTCCACGTGGATTGTACATCCAAAACAAAGCTGTAGAATCAATCGTCGAAAACACGACAACATTTACTTGTCTAAACAACTGTTGGGAAGGTAGCGGTGAGATTAACCGTTTCCATTCAAAAAACATCAGCATAAATCAACTGAACAGTGTTAGTTAAAATTTATAAAATCGTTTTCTTATATCATTTTTTTCATGAAATTTATATTTCTCAAGTTGTTGTCGACCTTTCAAGTATTGATTGGAGTTTTCTTTCAAAATTTTTGTTTTTGGTAGTGAGCAAAGCTAACAGCATAATTATTTAATTATTTTCTCTTCTGGTTTTAAGCGCTTCCAATTTTTATTGTTACTGATATTGGAAGTGTCCAAGTGATGAGTTATTTCGTATGTGATTTTGTAGCGCCAATCTAGAGAGTCTGGTGAAAGATTGTTTTTTTTGTTGTAAATGAGCATTATTCTTCTGCGTTATCCAAACTAATGTTTTGCACGTAAATTTCTTGTATGTAAATGAACATACATTTATTTTTCTTTTATAAACTCTGCTGCATTCTCGGCTGCTTATTGGCGGGACGACATTATATAGAGAATCACCGATAGCGTCATTCTTCTCAGGTGTTTTTTTTTTGTTGTTGTTGAACAAAGCTTTTAAGATTATTATTCATAACAGTTTATTCAACAAATGTTCAACGTGTCCAAATATCTACTGTACCTAGATCACAATGCCCCTAACACTTCTAAGGAATTGGAAACATTGGAAAAGAACGTTTCAAAATGATATTCTGGAATGTTGGGAGGAACCACCAGAGAAGTTCCGATCTCTGATAAATTGTGTTTCATCCGGGGTGTATGAGTACATCTAAGATTGTACAAATTACGAGGAAGCCGTCCAAAAATTTGACCAACTATATATCAAGAGATCTCTGCTACGTACCAGCTTCTGATCAAACACCAGAAGAATCTAATGAGAAATTCCTTCAGGAAGTCCGAAATCTTAGTAAAGATTGCAACTAAAAAAAACAAAACAATCACTGCTGAATAATACAGAAGTGCAAATGAAAGATGCCTTTATAAGTGATAATTTCATTCAATTATATTAGGCAGAGGTCGCTGGAAAATTCAGCACTGGACCTATCGTTGGCCTTCAATCAAGCACGTGCACTTGATCTAGCTCAAAAAATTCACAACTTTACTCCCCTACAAGCACTTCGTTGGTCCCAGAGCTGTTGGTAACAGGAGTGAATGTTCAGAAGGCAGTTCCACAACTGTAACCCTACCAAAAATGTCTTACCAGAAAAAGTGCCAATTTTGTGGTAACGCAGCTCGTAATCAGAAAGTTTGCCCTGCTCGTAGCGTCACATGTTTTCATTGTTGAAAAAAACAGACACTTTTCGTAGGTTTACCGATCTAAGACCCATTCATCTGGGACGACGGCCATGATGCTTAATTTTAAACATCATGGCCATCTTTCAAAATTCATAACAGATTAATAAAGATTTAAAGCATTAATAATGTCTCTTTCTGATTTACAGTGGCTTTGTCACATGACGAAAAAGCACATTTCTTGTGAACTCGAGCGTGGATCGAGTTTACTCTCTATAGCTTGAAAGACTTGCACGTAACTCACAAGAGCTGCATTTGTAATTTAAAGATATCATATACATATTTGAAAAGTCCGTCCTAATATACAAAATTAAAAAAATGGGACATCTGATGCGTCGAATTTCACGAGTAATGTCCTCTCGCTTAAAAAAAGTATCCTCGACGTATCAAGTTAGTACACTTATGCATGCGTATATTAGTAGATATTTATATAAGGCGTACTTTGTGAATCAAGTAATAATTGCATATTTCTCACCGTTGCCAGCGGTTCGTGTTCGAGCCCAGGTAAAAGTCGAGGATTTTGAATGCTGATTTTTATGACAGATAGCTATTCCTTACTTGAAAGATTAGTACAATATGTTCTGAGAAGCATTCTTTCAATAGTAAAAGTAATATTCGCCGGCTTCCTTGTGTGGAAACATTGGGCATTCAATGATCGAATTGCCAGCGCTATAGTCGGTTAAAATTTATAAATTTATTTTTTTTTTTTAAGCGTTTCACCCCAAACAAGGCGGGAAGCCACTACAACGCAAGGGGTTACAGAGAGTTGGAGCGAGATCAAATAGGACTGATAGAGGAAAGGATGAAGAGAAGGATAGGGGATAGATCAAGGCATCTGGAGACGTCGATTGACATTAGATTTGAATAGTTGGAGATTATAGCTATCAGGGAAACAAGAAAAGGGGGGAGAGTTCCACAGGCGAGAGGTGCGAGACATGAAGCTATTGGAGTAGAAGAGACGGCTACATTTAACAGTTTCGACAGTGAAAGGGTGTGAGCGAGATGCCAGCCGAGTTGAACGCTCAAATTCATGATGTCTGGGAAACAATTTTTCAGGAAAATAAGTTTTTCCAGTCCAGTGACTGTTATTGCTCTTTCGAATATAAATAGGGTTTCCTTCCTAACCTTTTGTGTTAAGTAGTGTGGAATATCAGAATCTTGTGTATGTCATTATTTTCTCTTCGGGTTATGTGCGATATCAATTTTAATTGTTGCTGCTGTTGAAAGTCCTCAAGTTATGTCGTTTCTGCTATGTATTAATGTTCTTTGTTTGCAATTCTGTGGTATCAATCTACGAAGATTGAAGAATGACAGTTATCTCTATAGCCACGGACTTCATGCGCTTGCAGCCGTTTTTAATCATTGATCTGAAAAAGTGGTACTATATAGCTGATAGTTTAGTTGGGTACCACGTATGACATCCTTATGAAAGATTCTTTGCTATTTATGAACATGACTCGAGGTTTTAGGCTAATGTAGCATCTTGTCATGTCGGACAAATTGATGTCAGTTTTATTAGCTTCAAAAAGAGGAAATGGCGATTCCATAATCAATTAGGAACGTAGGGACACCACATATGCTGCAGTTGTAGCAGTATATGTCTTGGGCAACGTAGCCTGTCGTAGCCCAGCCCTCGTTAAGCTGGTTTGAATTAAGAGTTTTCCTTCTCCTATACTGTTTGTCAACCAAGGTTATAGGGTATAGCCTGTCCTGACATTTATCCACAAATCAGAACATTTTCATAATTGCCATTTACTAACAGGTAAAGGAGAAGAGATGGATTTATGCCTTTCCCAATGATATTTGCGCCTAAGTGAATATAACGAATCCGATTGGAATTTGAACACGTGTCTACGATTTCTCATTCTGAGTCGCTATCCATTACACCACCGCACATCCACACACTACGCATACTGACATTCAAATCAGAATATTTTCATAACTGACTTGTCTTTTATTAGTAATTTAAATGTGAGTTATCACAATATTTTATTCATAAAAGGTAAAACAAAAGTAACGCCCAGATTCTGGAAATCATGTTAATATTTGTCTTCCAGATTATTACATTCCCGAGTTAATTCTATCTTTCTTTTGTGGGTTATTGTTGAAACCAAAATAGGGCGTTATCTTTGACTCATCTTGTATACAAATGGCGTAGTATCAATCTAATTTCCCACGTACGACACATAAGAAAAAAAATTACAAGTTTCATCATTATCAGTCCCATGACCATGTGTCGTCGTAGGGTCGATGAACAGAAGATCATCTAGCCAATCCACTCCCACATATATGGGTCGGAAGCCGGAGAGTTAGTCATTCAGGCGTAATCTCTTGTTTCCTGTTCCTTCTACAGTCTACTTCAATCTTATACTTCTAACGTCTCCGCCTAAAACTCTGAAATTTTATTTACTTTTTTTCTTTCCTCAATACGGGTAGATGTGTTCGCCTATCCTTCGGTTCACACTCCCCACCCCGGTTCTTTATAACATGGTAAGAGGCTTATCCTTTGTTTCCAGTTTAGAATTGGGTTTTCGGTTACTTCTAAAGATTTTTCCTTGTTTTTCACTTCCGGTGGCTGGGATGCCTCTTGCTCTGTAAATATCTACCGCGAGTGGCCGGGATGCTTCTTGCTCTGTAAACCTCTACCGCGTGTGGCCGTGATGCCTCTTGCTCTGTAAACCTCTACCGCGAGTGGCCGTGATGCCTCTTGCTCTGTAAACCTCTACCGCGTGTGGCCGTGATGCCTCTTGCTCTGTAAACCTCTACCGCGTGTGGCCGTGATGCCTCTTGCTCTGTAAATATCTATCGCGAGTGGCCGTGATGCCTCTTGCTCTGTAAATATCTACCGCGAGTGGCCGTGATGCCTTTTGCTCTGTAAACATCTACCGCGAGTGGCCGTGATGCCTCTTACTCTGTAAATATCTACCGCGAGTGGCCGTGATGCCTCTTACTCTGTAAATATCTACCGCGAGTGGCCGTGATGCCTCTTACTCTGTAACTATCTACCGCGAAAGGCCGTGATGCCTCTTACTCTGTAAACGTCTAACTTGAGTGGCTGTTCGACCTTGCGCAGAGTGAACAGCATTGTAAAAAAAAAAGAAAAAAAGAAAAAGAGACCCTGTTTTGAGCAAGTAGACCTAAAAGAGCCCATCCCACCCACAACCAATTCTCCCCAACTTGGAGGCTGGTCTTGATCACAGATATGTAGTCTTTGATTGCAATGGCGGAACCCTCTGCTTTGACCGTTGACTTCAATCTCTGCAGCTTTCCACGCAATCTACACCGACATACATCGCTATGTAACCTCTGACTGTCCTAGATAGTTGATAGGTCTTGTTTTTAATGTTGCTGGGTGTCTAGCCACCCTCTACACCACTGGGGCTGGCAGAACCGGTTTAGTCAACGATGATCTGACCATGTGGCAGGTCGTACAATGTTACATAGTACCAGTAGCACTATTAAAGTTAAACGTTTCATCTGCTATAAAAGGAATAAAAGTGAAATAGCCTGGCTATGTCTTTCTTTCATTTTCGTT